TTAAGGGACATTTATATGTGGCGTGTTTTGCAGTGAAAAAACTATTCATATATTTTTTGTTAGCTGCTCCTTTTACTTATGCACCATATTTGCAATCTGTTAGTTATTTTCGTACTAAACATTTTATACTAGACATATTTTTATGGCAAAGTAACGTTTGCCGGGTTAGCTAGTATATATATATATATATATATATATATATATATATATATATATATATAGATTATATAATTCTGAATTTGATGTTGGCATGTGCATTAACAAATTCTAAAAATCGGAACATTAGCATAAAAAAAAACAAATTTTATTCAGTGGAAAAAAAAAATTAATTAACTAAGATGAATGTTAGTGTTAATTCAATAGTCCATGGTATCAAGATATGGTAATGCATTACAATAAAAATCACAAATAGATAGTGTGAAATATATTCTCTCAGAACAATAAAAAAATTGCGGAAAACATTCACAATTAGTTCCACACATGTGTATAATAGTATCTTAGTGAAAATATTAAAATGTGATTTTGAATTGTCACCTTATGCACGGTAGTATGAATATATATATATATATATATATATATATATATATATATATACTAGATGACCCGACAGACGTTGTCCAGTACCCACGTCTACAATTCAAAAGTTCCAAATTTTTTAATATCCTGTACTATACTTTTTAATATCCTATTTGATGTCCTGCCTTTGAGATTCATTTATAGTCTTAGAATAAGCAGTATAAAAAATTCAGAAAAAAATAAAATAGTATCTGCGGTAAAAGAACAATATGACACTTGATTTTGCCACCCAGCATAACTGCTTCAATAATTCAGTCTATAATTTTCATTATCTCGTACGATATATTAGTTGCTTTTTGGCAATTATAATTTTAAAATGAAAAGTACATTTTTCTTACTAATGATTTAATAAACATTATTGTTTATGTTCAAATTTTAGGTAAATTAAGTTGTAAAATCTAGTTATATGTGCACTGTTCAATCTAAGATCAACTTGCTAAATGTTCCATATTATATGCAATGCCAAACAAATGAATTTCTGGCACATGAAACAAAATTCCAAATCATTTTTTAATAAGTAGAAATATATTTTTGTATTGTTAAATAATTTAGTAAAGTAAACCAAAATGCGACATGCGTAAGTTTAAAAAAATAATGTATAAGCAATTTTGGACCTATTGCGTTATTTATTAAACTAAAATATATAATTTCATCTGCCAAACATTCACTTCACTGTTGACTGTATCTTATATTATTTTAATTTCTGGCACATATCAGCTGCTTTTCGGCAATAATAATGTAGACATTATATTTTTCTTATATATTGCATTCTCATATTATCTAGGCTCATGATTTCAGCTAAATTCAAATTTCAAGTAAATTGTCATTTCTAGCAGATCACAGTTCAAATGTCAAACAATGATAAGTGGTTTTTTGTAATTTTTGCCATTTATTTCTACAATATTACTATAGTTTTATCGTTCATTAAATCTTAAAATTTCCTTGGACAAACTCTGAAAAGGATGATCAAAATCCGAAAAAACCGTTTTGGAGAAATATCAAATCATACACAGAAGAAGAAAAAAAAATATATATATATATATATATATATATATATGTATGTATGTGTGTATGTATACGTGTGTGAATATCTAGTTCTAATACGAATTGCATTTCCTGCTGTATAATATTTGATTTGCAATCAATGTCAACATTCTTCAGAATCACAATGAAACAATTCCATTCCCCAGAGATGAGTACAATGGAACAATGACCGCAAATCCAAATATCACCTCAAAATAAAACATATAACAATCTCATTACACATTTGCTATATATCTCTCCTGATATGACAAAAATTTATAAACATTCAGTGCAAACATTCCCATCCGGTTAGTAAGGAAAGAATTTGTTCAAATATTTGCATATTTCTAATGCATTCAATGTGGTAGATTATTATGAGCTAAATTTTACATTTTCTCGATAATTTTTCAAAAAACGTTAATTATATGAAATTTATTTGCGATCAATCTCTTACAAATAATTTAAATATTATTTCTCTTAAGTCTTTTGACGATCAATCACATATTAAAGAAATCTTTTATCAAATTCCGAGAAATTCAATAAAAGACTAATTTACACAATATAATAAAAACAATATGAGCAAAACACAACTATAACGTGACGCAAAGAAGATATAAATTCGGTTATCCAAAAATTTAAATAAAAAAACAATTTTTTTTGCAACCTGTTACTTTTTTTCTCACCATGACGCGTTCTATTTTAATTTTTCTGGCGCGAACTATAAATCATATGACTTAGGAAGTCCCATTTAAATAATGGGATCTTTTGAATCATATAATAATATATTAAAAAAAGTCATTAATCAAAATTAGATGTCTATACAGTTCCGTGTAGAGTTTGCATGATTGACGCATTTATCCAACTGGTTTCTTTTAATAAACGCTAAACTTTTTTTTTGCAATCCCGTCAATCAAATTATAATCATGAATAATTTGCGAAAATAGTTACACGCGAATTCTTCTTTGTGTATGTAGGCATATAACTAAAATTGTTTTTTTCATTTGTTTATGTAAGATTAGAAGTTTTGTATGCGTATAATATAATCTTTTGCGAGTTAGTAATCATGGATGCAGGATGAGGTTATGCATAGTTGATATAAATAATATATATATATATATATAGCATATTTTGGTAGTACTTGAAATGCCTAAATCCAAGTTGCCAATTAGAATGCCAACCCGGAGTTTGGGGGCGTCCGGGTATG